GCGGGGAGATCCACCCGCTGCACAAAGTTGGGTCTCTCTTTTCTACTTTTGATCGATCTTCTTGGTTCCTGGCTGGGCTCGGTTCGAAGACACGGAGCCGGGAATAGTTTTCTTGCCGTTTCACTAGTAATAAGTGTCACTGGTCTGATCCTCAGAAACGAGCAGTTGAAACCGGGTTGTCGTTCCTTGTCTTTCCACTCAGAACAACAACACCTGGGGATTGTCTATCCTTTACCCCAATCATTACAATCCTCGTAATGCTTGTTTTCATGAAGAGTCATGTAAGCTCTATGTCTATTGAGGTGAGACTTCTTTACCAGACATTACTACTATGTATGTACACCATTATATGCTGAACCCGCTTACCCCCATTTCATTTTTCCCTCCTCCATGGTCAATCACTCTTCCGATGCAGCCGTTTCACTTCGCTTCTTCTTGAACAGAAACCCTCCCAAAAACAACAGAATAGGCACACCAGATACACCAGTCAGCAAGGCCAAAGCCCACGTCATAGTCTTCCAGCCCGCATTTTCCCGGATAAAGCCTGCAAAGAACGGACCAACAATGGTTCCAGCAGCATACGCGGAATTGAGGATGCCATATGACAAAGCCATGGCACCACCCTTACCGAAGATATTAGGGTCCTGTGCCTCCTTTTCCTCCACAATATAGGACGCCTCAACCAACAGCGGAGGCATCAACGAGGCTATACAAAAGCCGATGAGAACCAATAATGCGCATAGCAACACCTTCTGGCCCATGGAATCGTGCGTGACAAGACGGAGCAGCACCATGAAGGGTACGGTGGAGAAGAGTGCTCCTGCCGCCATGTAGCGGCGTGCATTCACGAACTTGTCGTTGATCCAGCCGAAGAATGGATCGGAAATATGAGGAACGGACAAGGGCACGAAAATCAGCCCCTGTCCTGTCTGGTCCCAGCCAAAGGTGTCCTCAACAAAGAGAGGAAGGACGCTGTCGAACGAAGTCAGGACCACGGAGACGATGAAGTACGCCCAGATGGTGACTATCATGCGATCTGAAGCGAGAAGAGTAAGAACAGCGCTTCTAGTCTTTTTGGGACTCGCATGTGCAGAACTCTCAGCAGACTGCTGTCCGACTGACACCGGGACCCCTGACTTATCATCAGATGCACCAGCGGACAACCTATCAGTAACATCTTCCACATCAGAGCACTTCTCCGTGGTTTCAGACGGCGAAATATCCGGACTCTGTTCCTTCTCCTGTTGCAACCACTTCACCGCATGCTTCTTCTCGATCATGACCAGCCGCAAAACAATGTCCACGCCAACGAGGGCAAACGCCAGAGCAAAGACGGCATAGTATCCGCCACGGGCGTAAATAACACCACCCAGAAGCGGCCCACCCATGATTCCCAAGGTCATACCCATCCCGATATAACCCATCGCTTGCCCAAGGCCATCTTTTCCCACCGTGTCGACCAGCAACGCGGCTCCGACCGTCCATACAACCGCTGCGGATGCGCCCTGGAAGATACGGCCAATGATCCAGAGACTAAGGTGAGTCCCAACGCAGAGTAGAGCCGTAGAAGCGCCCAGTGCCAGCAATCCGACAATGAGTGGCCACCATCGAGACTCAAAGCGGTCGGCGATATAGCCCGCAACGGCTGGATGTTACAGTCAATGAGCATGAACATTCGTCGAAACGATATTGCAAGGGTGATACTTACGCGATGCTGCTAATAGCGCTGCGCCATACAATGCTAACAAGATAGACGTCCATGATTGTTCTACCCCAAGTCATAGTCAGCATCAACTCAGTATCTTTAGAGATAGAACTGATCAACTCACCCTGATCAACAGACATCCCAACCCTCTCATGTAAAGCGGTAGGAGCCACGGGAACAATCTACGGTTGACTTCAACATCAGCAAGCTGAACCCAGATATAATTTACTCAATGGTACACTCAAGCCACGTACCAGCCCATAAAGTAAAACATCCTATTCAACATGTGGTAGTTAGCACGTGTAACTATAATCAAATCAAGGGTCCGAGCCAAGCTAAGCAGCGCAACGCAAAGCATACCGTGAAGACAGCAAAAACCACCACGAAGATAATAAACGCATTAGATGACCTCCACTTCAAGAATACCGGTGGCTTGGTGTCATTCTGCCCTGGCACTAAGCCACGCAGATTCCAGGTCATGTTATAAGGCTGTATTGTATGTTATGTACTAGTACTGCTTGAATGGGACTGGGTCGTTCCGCAACATCGGGGCCGACTTGACTTTCTGCAATGCTTCGCGGGTATGTGATCTTAACAGAATGCTTTAGTGTGATGCAGATCAGAACGATTACTTAATTTTAAAAAAGGTAACTAAGTAGGATTTACTTTGTGTCAGGAAGGAAGGTCTAGTTATACGTGTATGAGGGAGTGGCCGGTCAGGTTCAAATCCTGTTGCTATGCGATTTGCTCGGCGCCCGCGGGGCCCGAGCCCAGTCTTATCGATGGGTCACAGGCTCATCGGCGGAACGGGATGGAATATCTACAGATTACGGTGAAGATGAGTGGTTCAGTGCTGCTGGTTTAGAAATATAAAAGTAATATTGGTTGACCAATTGTGAAGTGGCGTCTTGATTTTCGTGACTCATGGCATAATGCTGCCTTATGGGGGCTACTGCAGGTTTCATGTTCGCCACCGTCTTCATAGCTTGTACATCTCGCTGCGGCTGCGTACCCCGTCAAAAATGCAAGTGTTATCCAAGGGCACATACTGCCTGGTGATTACTTTGAGCGCCTCCTGCGCGACTAGTCCTCCGGTGAGCGAGGAGATGTTGTGTAGTTCACCGCCTTGCGTCCTCCGTAGCTCCTGCGCCGCTTGTAGGATTCGCTCCCTTGCGTCTCCGTCCTCAATAGTGGATGCACCTTCAGGTTGAAGTGCACCAAGGATGCCGTCTATTGCAGAGTCCCACACCTTCTCATCTTCCAAGGCCTCCTCTGATATCTTGCCCGCTTGAATGTCGGTGATTATGTCATCCAGAGCCTGGAAGGCAAGGAAGGTCGGCACAAGGGAGTCTGGAATATCAATGTTATTCCGAATCGCCTTTATGGTAGTTGCCTCCCCATCCACTATCGGGATATCGCGGCCATGGATAACCTTGATGTGAGCCGCATTCTTGCAGAAGACCTCAATATCCTTGTCCGAAGCTGGGGCCGGGCGTGGTCCAAGCTGTGCTTCGAGGCTTCGGACGATCTGGGTGACTTCTTCTATGTCCTTGCGAGCCTTTGACTTGTAGATGTTCTGAAGAGAAACATAGTCGGCTGATTGAGCCTTCATATCGGGTAGAGAGCCCGGTAAAGGAAGGACACTGTGTCTCTGGTAATATTCACGGATGGCGGCCGCGATAATCCAGAAGTTGGCCGAGTCCGGGGCTGGATGCTTGCATTCTTCCATCTCGAAGATCTCACGAAGGGAACTGCGTAAGCTGAAGGGGTTCAAAGTCTTCAGAACTGCGGCAACAGCCTCATCATAGTTCTCCTCTCCACCTTCGGGATTGCTTGTTCTTGCACTAGAGCGCACCAGTTCCCTGAATTCCGATTTTTCTTTGTAGTTCGATGGTACCTGGCCATCATGCGCTTCTTTCCATTGCTCTAGGTGATGCAGAAGAAGCAAAATGTACGGGACATGGCCATGCTGGTGATCATCCAGGCTGTCCAGGTTGCGAATGCTAGCACCGGCCGCTGCCAACTCAGGCCACGGGTTGAGGAGACGGAGATCCTGTGTGCTTTCCGGATCTGGATGTGTCTCTACTATAGGGAATGCGGCCGGCAGTTGGAGAGAGAAGGTGGAATAGAATCCAACCGAGCGAGTGTAGATTACTGGGATGCCAAATTCTTTAGCAGCCTTGCAAATGGCTTCCAAAGAAGGGCGTTTTACCGGTCCAGACACCAAGACCAGCTTGTGCTGCGGAAGAAACTCAGGGTCCTTCAGCAGTTCTGAGATTGACTTGTGCTCAGGTTTCGTTAGCTCTGCAGCATCATTGAGCAGTTGGGTGGATTAGTCACCTTAGTATAGAAGCTTCCATCTACGTCCGGGTTTAATTCTCGTAGCAATCGACAGGTCTCCTCGGCTCGGGACTTGCCCAAGCTCTCTTCTTCCAAGAAAAAGTTTACCCCGAGATCCGGCTCGGTGACAACTGCAGGGTCCACAATCGTGAAACCTCCGACTCCAGGAAGTACAAGGTTCTTAAGGGTTTCCACGCCGACAACACCGGATACACCTGTGTTGTGCTTTCCCCAGGGTTCGTCAGAGTTGACAAGAAGCACGCGGGATTCTTCTAGAGCTTGCTGCCCACTTGCTGCCCACAAGCGCAATTGGCGATCATATTTCCTCTCTTTCGAGGACGGTCCAACCAAAGCACTCGGGAAGGCCTCTGCCATGAGGGGCTAAAGCGGAGAAGAGACGGAGATAGACAAAGACAAGTAGGATCGAAAGGAGGGGGATCAACAAGCTGGAATAATGTTCCAGTGACTAACCCTGGTCGTAAGAAGATGGAGCAACACGATCACAAGCACCCAAATGGACCGATGACTTGTTGAGGTATTGATATTCCGAGCAAGTAAGAGCGTTGGAATGCATATGTTGGCTACAGTCACATGATCGATGTAATGCACGGACCCACTACAGCTGTTGGTGGCCTTGCTGCCTGTATGCCTGAGGCTGCAAATACTATGACGACACAACCCCGCCGGAGTAAAAGACGCCGAACAACAATCTGTCACTCGCTGCATTATCAGATGGATCTACTCTGTAAGCGGATGATATAAGCTGTCAAGATCTCAATTGCTATGCCATGAGAGTCGCACTTCCGCGTGGCTGTCTGTCATCCCTGTAAGTGGTCCAATCTTTTTGCTGGAAACTTTCCCTGGGCTTGTCGCATCTCCCCCCACCGCGGGCATCCACTACATTTGACGGTTCCTCCCCGAATTTGCAGGGGCTCGATTCGAGGGTTTCTTGTCCCCGGAATAGTCCGCCTACTAATCTTGAACAACAGACCCCGGCTCGGCAGTTTCCCCTCATCTTCTATTTATTCTCGTGTTCGTCTCTGCTTACGACCAGATCGCTCGTCTCCTTCCGTTTTGTCCCTCTTCTCCGTTTCCAACGCTACCTTTCGCCGTCATTCCACCATGGCCAGCGTCGTCGAAGCCGCAAAGCGCGCTGCCGGTAAGGCTGCCGTCGAGAACCACTACCCCAAGGACGCCAAATACGTCGGCATTGGCAGTGGTTCGACCATTGTCTATGTGGTCGAGGCCATCAAGGAGTCCGGAATCGACACCTCCGCCACCAAATACATCCCCACCGGCTTCCAGTCCAAGCAGCTGATTGTCAACGCTGGTCTGACCGCGGTGGACTTCGATGCCCTTCCCGAAGGCACGGTCTTGGATGTTGCCTTCGATGGTGCCGATGAGGTCGACGATGAGCTGAACCTGATCAAGGGTGGTGGTGCTTGTCTCTTCCAGGAGAAGATTGTGGCTCTTCAGGCCAAGGAGTTCATCTGTGTGGCTGGTGAGTACATTGTGCGCCGATGACGATAGTGTCTGGAGGGCATGCGCACTAACTTCCCGATGATAGACTCCCGCAAGCTCCAATCCCGCCTGCTCACCGGCTGGAAGTACATCCCCATCGAAGTCGCTCCTATCGCGGCTCGTCGCGTTCTTGGTGCTCTCAAGGAAATTGGCAGCATTGACCCCGCTATCCGCTTGAACTCCGATGCCAAGCAAGGCCCATTGAAGACCGACCAGGCCTTCTACATTATCGACGCTCCCTTCAAGACTCTGCTGACCCAGGCAGACGTCGCTGCCGGAAAGGACGGTAGTGGCAAGGACGGCGTGTGGGAGGTCCACGCCCTCTCTCAGGCGATCAAGCAGATTCCCGGTGTTCTCGACGTGGGTATCTTCTCTGGCGTGACGGGCCCTCAGGCGCAGGCGCTCGGTGGTGTCGGAGGCCAGAAGCCTATTGCTGCCTACTTCGGTATGCCTGACGGCTCGGTGTCTGTCAGAAAGGCCGCTGCTTGAATGGGACTGCTCCCTAACGCCATATACGATACGTCAAGAGATTAGAAGAAAAAGTACAAGTACAAATGATACCATGTAGACTGTTAGCACGAATCGGACTATTTTACGCTTTCTATAACCTGGTGCCTCGTAACTGTGATATCAATGAACCAAAAGTAAGAACAAGAACACCAGTCTCCGCACGCCGGTCATCAAGACAAAGTAAGTTAGTTTCATAAGGCGACAATATACTCAAGCTTATTTGGCGCCCTTCCCCTTCGCTTCCGTCTCTCCAAGCTCACGTACAAAGATCTTAACCGTCCCTTCGACAACATCATCTTTCCCATCCTCGAAGCCCGGGCTAATCGCGATCGCGAGGTACTTTCCATTACCGCTAAAGTCCACGGCAGCCACACTCGACGGGTACTTCTGGTACTGTCTGATTCTCCTCTTCGCGATACCATCCCAAAGCGCGACCACACCATCACCACCGCCGGAGGCAAACGTACCGTGGACCGGGTGAAACGCCAGCGCATTGACAGGGTAGACGACGTCGACATCATCCGCCGTCTGTCTGTGACACTTGAAGGCATATTTGCGGGCCTGCGACTCAGCAGAAGGATCGAACCATTCGACCGCAACACGGCCCTCAATACTGGATGACGCGTATCCTGCATCATCGGGCATGCATGCCACCGAGCGAGTCATGAACTTCAAGCTGCTCTCCCTTCGCTGCCAGGGCTCGATTTCAATCTTGTTGGGGCCCGTACCCTCCGACTGAGCGGTGAGCATGGCCAATGCTTTCAGATCGTAGATGTGTAGGGCGCGGGAAGCCATTGCGACGACGAGCTTCGTAGCGGTAAGAGACATGGAAAAGGGCTTTGAGGGGAGGGGAATGATAGCGGGGGCTGTGGCGGGATCGTTCGTCGGGTGCACATGCAACGTGGAGTCCCAGGATGCGGATATTACTAGGTTGTGTTCCTTGCTGAAAACGACGCTGCGCACGCCAGCCTCGTGGCTGCTGAGGACGGTCTGAGTGGATGATGCTACATCAATTCTGTTTGGTGTCAGCAGGGAATGAATTGAGGATGCGCCGGTTGCTAACGGAGGTGACATGAACTCACTTCTTGACGTCCCAGTCCAAGCCAGCCGTGTAGATCTCATCCTCGGTTGCGCCAAAGCACACATCCAGCACCGGAGCACGATGCTCAAACTTCTGTAACAGCTTGCCTTCTCCGACAGCACCATTCTCGTCGCGCAGGTCGTACAGATACACGTTCTTATCCCATGAAGAAACGACGATTCGCGTGGAGTCGGGGTCGGGCGAGAACTTCAAGGCGGAGATAGCATCCGTCGGCGGGGATGCGACAGAGAATTGATCTGATGCCTGTCAGTGAATGGAAATTGACACAAAATCAATTCGCGACTTACTTGACGCCATGATTTCTTGCTTGAACCTTCAACGAGCCCAATTGTATATCGTTGTTGATCGGCCCGTCGTCATGGAAGCTTCACCTTCAGCCCATTTTCTGCCACCCGACACCGCCCTGGAATATTCTCCCCGCCATCATCATCGATTGATGGCATTGACGTCGGACATTCTCTGGATCGAACACATTCTTGTGCGCAGATCTTCATCATGCCGTTCGCGCAGCTCGTGATAGGGCCCCCGGGTGCCGGTAAGTCCACCTACTGCAATGGCATGCACCAGTTCCTCGGAGCTATTGGTCGCAAATGCTCCATTGTGAATCTGGACCCCGCAAATGATAAAACATCATATCCGTGCGCGCTGGACGTTCGCGACCTTGTCACGTTAGAGGAGATCATGAGTGAGGATCAGTTGGGGCCTAACGGGGGTATTTTGTATGCGCTGGAGGAATTAGAGGAGAACTTTGACTGGCTTGAGGAGGGACTGAAGGATCTCGGAGGTATGCGCATTCTGCCGTGCAGATGTTACAAGATCCTACGCTAATACTTATTAAATATGATAGAGGACTACGTCTTGTTCGACTGCCCGGGCCAAGTTGAACTGTTCACACACCACTCTTCCCTCCGGAACATATTCTTCAAATTGCAGAAGATGGGCTACAGAGTATGTCATACCCGCCTCATCCGGAGTTACATGCTATGCGAATACTAACAACGAACGTTGCGCAGCTCATCGTGATCCATCTCATTGACTCCTATAACCTCACACTACCATCAATGTACATCTCCGCCCTTCTCCTCTCCCTCCGCGCCATGCTCCAAATGGACCTACCTCACCTGAACGTCCTCACCAAGATCGACAACCTATCGAACTATTCCCAGCTGCCATTCAACCTTGACTACTATACAGAAGTGCAAGACCTCAGCTACCTCCTACCGCACCTCGAAGCCGAGTCGTCACGGCTATCACACGAAAAGTTCGGACCGCTCAATAACGCGATCATCGACCTAGTGGAGGAATTCGGACTAGTGAGCTTCGAGACGCTAGCCGTAGAGGACAAGAAGAGCATGATGAATCTACTGCATGTTATCGACCGTGCCAGTGGCTACGTCTTCGGACCCGCCGAGGGTGCCAATGACTCCATCTGGCAGGTTGCTGTCCGAGAAGGTCTGGGACAGATGGACATCCGAGATGTGCAAGAGCGGTGGCTTGACGCGAAAGACACGTACGATGAGCACGAGCTAAAGCAGCTGGAGGAAGAGGCGAAAGCCAATGAAAAGGCAGCTCAAGAAGCATCAGCAAAGAAACCCAATATGAACTTCGATGATGACGACGAATACGACGATCTGGGGAGGGGCTCGATACCAGATGGCGGCGTGAAGGTTATACGAACATCATGACATGACATGGAATTTATCCCAGCAACCATATTCTATCCACACACACATACATACATACACACTGTATAATATAGGGTATCTCTAATGAAAACGATCAAGACAAAACTCCCAGCACCCAAACCCAAGCCCCCACCCCTGAAACATAACTCCCATACACGTCAATCCATCATCGATCATCATCCTCACTCTCCATCACCACATCCACATCCACACCCAAATCCACATCCCCCTCCCCCCCAGTACCCGGCGTACTCACCTCCCCACCGACATCAACCAACCCACCCAACAACCCCTCCAAAACCCCACTCTCCTCCGCCTCCCTCAACCTCACAATCTCCCTCCTGGCCCTGCGAATCGCCTCCTCCTCGGCCTTGCGCATCGTCCCGGACACCCTAATAACCCGAAACACACAAGGCCTCATCGAGCTGGACCTCTTCGACCCAGGGTCACTAAACCCCGGAACCTGCGACATGCAAGTCAATGCCGTCCAGACAAGCCGGAACGAGGCACGAGGACACCGAATAATCGCCGTGGAAGTAGCCGGGGAGAGATATTTCACTGTATACCCAACCAAATCATCAGTCTCATCATCACACACCAGCAGACAGGAATCACAAAGCAAAATCAAAGATGAAGGCGGGGGAAAAGGAAACAAACATACCACTAATACCCCCCGCGCCAGCACCACCTAATCTACCGACGCCGTAATCGCCGAACATGAGGGAAACTTCCTCTCGCACCATCTTTGCTAGGAGACCGGGTGTTAGGGCGTCGGATGTGGGCGAGTGGATTTGTAGCTGTGCTTGCGATTTGGATTTGGATTGGGAGTTGTTGCTGTTGTTATTGTTCTTGGTGCGAGAGGTGGCTGCGGGCCATGTTGAGGGGTCGGGGTAGAGGATGTCGAGGAGGATGTAGCGGTGTTTGAGGCGAACCATTGTTTAGTATTTTAGTGGTATGTGGTGGAGGGTTGGTGGTGGTGGTGATGGTGTTGTAGTGGTGGTAGGTTGATAGTTGGTATTTGGTGGGAGTTGGTTTGCGGGATGATTTCTCGGGAGAGGATTGTTGCGCGCCACCTCCTGGTAGAATGCGCGTTTAGTATTAACTGCAATGGGTGGTTGTCTTTTCGATTGATTATGTTTGAAAGCTGGAAGATGGTAGTTATATTGAGCAGATCGGCGCGGGCAGAGGCCGTTTTTCTGCCGCATGTGGGCCTGCGCTGGATCTACCGCCTACTCGGATGAAGAAGCATACTTTGGGAACCGCAGATCAACTAATCATGCATAAAACAGTCCAGAACAGCAGTACATCTACGTTAATCTACAATTTTGATAGGATGCACATTTCTTTAATCGTTGCGTGATATTCATCAACCTTTAACAGCGAGTCATGCCACATGTGCCACTACAGATTGTAAGTTGAAATAGATGAGATATGAAGCGAACCAAACCGATGCAGAAAGAAACATGGGTGAAAAGAAAACAGGCCATCACAACTCCGACGTCAACAATGACGGATTTTATGACTAATCCATGAGATGTAAATGTATTAAGTAGAAAATTAGACGCTGACCTCGACACGGCCCTCGGAGCCACCCTTCTGGAGGGCGGGGAGAAGGTAGGTGATGTCATCCCAGGGGTGTCTGTACAGACCAGTGCGGAGTCTCTTCTGGTCGAGGTAGTGGGCAATGAGACCAATGGAACGACCAAGGACGAAGAGACCGTTGAGGACACCCATCTTCATGTAGTCCTCAACCTCCTCGGAAGAGAAGGCACCGCAGTTGCGCATCAGGTCAACGAAGCAGACGGCAACGCAACCGTCAACGTTGAGGATGAGGTTGTCCTTCTTGGAGGTGGTGACAGTCTCGACAGCAATAGCGTAGTCGAGCAGCTTGGTGCTGGGGAAGTGCTTCTTGGCGAACTCCTTGACGAGCTCAACACGGAGATCGGGGTTGTTGCGGGACTTGACACGGTGACCAATACCGGGGACTGTGCATAGTTAGCGAGGCTGTTCGACATTACAGGTACAATGAAGGTTCACTTACTCAGCTTGTTCTCCTTGCGCATGGTGTCAACGAAGTCACGGGGGCTCATGCCCTTGTCGAAGGCCTTGGTGAACTCCTCAGCAGCGCCGTCCAGGGCACCACCGAAGCGAGAACCGATGGTCAGGAGACCAGAGACGAGAGCGCTGATCAAGTCCTTGCCGGCACGAGTGGTGATGATGGTGTTCATGGCACCAGACACGGCAGGACCGTGGTCAGCAGTAAGCATGAGGACCATCTCAAGGAACTTGCTGGCGTAGGCAGGGAGGCGGCGGCGGAACCACAGAAGAGACATAACACCACCAATGCCAATGTCCTCACGGAAGACATCAGAGATGGGCATACCGGCGTAGAGGAGCTCCTGGCCACGGTCGTCGGAGATGGTGGAGATGAAAGCAGCGGGCTTACGGACGAGACCCAGCTCCTGAGCCCAGGAGTAGTCGATGGGGATCTTAGGGACGACAGGCTCAGGCTGGGGCTTGACGATGCCCTTCTTGACCTGGTCATCGTAAACCTCCTTGAGGGTCTGGGGAAGGTCCTCGAAGGTCTCGGGAACGAAGATACCGGCCTCACGCATGGCCTTGTTCTTGGCAACAGCAGTCTCGAGGTCGGAGTTGGCAGAGGCACCAGCGTGACCGAACTGAACCTCAGTCTTGAACATGCTAGCGCAGGTACCGATGGCCCAGGCGACGATGGGCTTGGTGATGGTGCCGTTCTTGACGGCCTCGATGACGCGGTACTCCTCAACACCACCGACCTCACCCAGCAGAACCAGGATCTTGCACTCGGGCTCAGCCTGGTAGCGGAGCAGGTGGTCGATGAAAGTGGTACCGGGGTAACGGTCACCACCAATGGCAACACCCTCGTAGACACCGTCGGTGGTCTGAGAGATGATGTTGTTGAGTTCGTTGGACATACCACCGGACTTGGAGACGTAACCGACGGAACCCTTGCGGTAGAGCTTGGAGGCAACGATGTTGTCCATCATACCACCAGTGTTACCGATCTTGAAGGCACCGGGCTTGATACCACCGACGGTAGCAGGTCCGATGATGGTGATGCCCTTCTCCTTGGCCTTGACCATGATCTCACGAGCGCGCTTTTCGGCTGTTAGCGGAGAACAGCATGATGTCTCTTAGTGCAGAACTTACTCTCTCGGGGACACCCTCAGCAATGATGGCAATGGAGCGGATCTGGGGGCACTCCATGAGCTCCATGGTGGAGCTGTAGACGGAACGGGAAGAGGCGAAGTTGACAACGGTGTCAACGTCAGGGTGCTTGGCCATGGCCTTGGAGACATCCTGGTAGACGGGGAGGAGGGTCTCGCTGGTACCCCAGTACCTGTAATTGCATCAGTATCTCAATTCAGGAGATGGGACCTGGTTTGCCCTACATCTTGCTCACGAACTGGCCACCGAAGGTGTAGATGATACCGGCGACGGAGGGAGTGGAACGCTTGCAGATGAAGTCGAAGTCAAGCATACCCTGGACAGCACGGGGCTGCATACCACTGTGGCAGATCGTCAGCCAGGGCAATTGAGCATGGCTATAGACCACGACTTACTATACGAAACATCTCGTCTTGTTGTGGAAGAGGGCGTTGCTGAGGGGAGAGCGCACACGGCTGGGGGGGTCGAAGCGGGTGATGTTGTCGTTGGCGGAGGCGCCATTGGCGGTGTTGACGAGGGGAGCAGAGGTAGGCATGTTGGCTGAATACTCTGTGAGATCGAGCAAGATGTCAGTGTCAAGAGATCAAGAAGGTTTTCATAAAGCGGGTGCTGTGTGGGAAGAATCCGTGGGAGGGGAAATGCATCCGCCATGATAATAATAATATATCGAACAACCCACATACCTGTCAACAGAGTTGGGAATAGGAGAAAGGATTAAAGGAGGATATTATTAGGTAGGTATGGGAGATATAGATAAATGAAGTAGTGACAAGCCGCTTCGTGAGACTGCGACCTGAACACAAAGGAAGTGTGGTTTAGGATGGTAGAGGGAGAAGGAGGGAGAAGAGAAGAGTAGGAAGCTGGAAGAGCGAGGCAACCAGATGGAGATTTGAGAAATTGGAGGGAGGAGGGAGGAGGAGAAAGGAAGTGGACTGATGGGAAAAAGACGGGAGATGAGAGAAAAACAAGATGTAAGATAAAAAGAAAATGGAACGGACAAAAAAAAAAGTAGCTAAAGGAGGGGACGATATCGGGAAGCTTGATGGGGGGGTAGAAAAATTATGGGGCCAAGTGAGGAAAGAGCAGGTACATAGTACAGAGTCTGGTATGGGCGTATGAATGGGGCTCGTATCGATGGTACCATACAGTATCAATGATCCTGGCGCAGGCAACTCTTGGTCCGAAACAACCCAGTTGGGGAAATCTCGACAAGGATGGATCACAAATGGGTCAACTTCGCTAGAATAGTAGCAGCTATGGGGAGGGCGTTTCACTCGACCGGACTAGTGGCGTGCAATCCGAAATGACATTGCGCAGTCAGAAGCCGATTCTCGTCTATAGGTTTTGAGATTGGAGATGGAGAGTGAAAGATCAATAGATCCTTACGGAGTCCGGAGTCCGGAGTATAGTACTATGCTCACAAGACGGGTGAATCAAGCGATTAGTGAAAGATTCCAACGCCCAACAAACTCCGTGGGGGATTGATTGACCGATCACTATACTACTAGTATCTACTAGGAGAGGCGTAGGAAGGAGTACTCCGTAGTTGTCTACAACAAACTTGGTGACTACTGTCACCTGTTCGGCTAACTAATCGGAGGACTCCGTTGGCTGGCAAAAAGGAGTGTTGTTAGGCAAGAATCGGAGCATGCAGAAATGTCTTGAATCAGTTTAGTATAGGTTAAAAACCGAAATAGACCGTCTGAGCAACACCGAGACCACGGTTCTCCGTATTACGGGGGCAAGGGCATTCTGATTGATACTGCGTACACATCGAACCGGGAGGTGGTTCTGGTGGTCTGGTTGGGGCTAAAGCGGGTGGATCCTACATCCGTCTGCTGGATCAGCAAACTGGAGGTCCCAATTGCGGCCAGGGACTGGGCCGATGCGTATGCACGAGGCCCCCTAAATTCAAAGGAGGTTTTTCTTTCCATTTCGCTGGCCGCTCACCGAAAGATCAAACGGCGGTATACTACGGGATATTACTTGGAAAGTATGAAAGTATGCTTCTGGAATCATACGGGCACCTACCCAAGTAGGTATATCGCCCTTCCCATCTATCTGTGGTATGTACCTTAGGTTTAGGCTTCCAGCATATTGTATGTAGATACTAGATAGAGTAGTGCTGCCATGTTACCATCCCCTCTCATACATACATGACAGTTATACTACTACCACTAATACTACAGTCGTAGATAGCAAGCAGGGGTACCTGAATTTCAGAACCATCCAGAACAAATTACTAGTTATTTGGTGGGAAGAATCGTGGTTATTCCCGTAAAGTAAAGAAAGTATGGGGAAGTTGTGAGCCGGGGAAGTAAGAAAACCACAAAACCCCATTACATCATCGAGCAGGACACGTTATCTAGTTCAATGTGATCAGACATGTTTAGGTTGTCCAGCTAACACATCTGCCACTATCACTGCATTATTGGAGGTTGTAAAGGAAATCCTGGTTACGAGCCATTCAGCCATTCGGGACAAGGGGGGGGTGATGATGATGATGGTGGTGTCGTCAACAAAACGAAGAGCGTCAAGCAAAGTACCCAACAAAAAAAGACGCAAGAGTCGAACAAGCCATTCTGGTGATTGTAGGGGGGGCTTCAGTATTGAGGCTACAGCGTAGGGCAGATACTGCGAGTCAAATACTCACGAGAATGGCTTCCGAGGATCCCCAACGCCGCCAATCCCGGCTGACAGGATGGGTCTTGGGCCGACCCGCTTTTTCTTACGGCGGCTCCACCGAATCTCAACAAAGTCCGCTGGCTGCAGCATCGCAACCCGCTAAGCCCCTTGTATTGCCCCGAGCTCGGCCCTGATCGTACTCTGTATCCTCTGTATCAAGGCGGTTTTGGGTGGTTTTTGGTTTTTACTGTGGCTTCAGTTGATCATTCCATCCCAATCCTCACTCCATCTTCGGACCCCAAAAAATTTGCTTCGTCGAAACTTCTCCTCCCCTCCCCCCTCCCCCCCTCCCTCTTACCTTCCTAGTACCCTCCTTTCGCCGGCCGTCACTTATCATCACCGACTAATCGGCGCGCTTCTCTTGCAATACTCCGTTTAGGTTCTTTTTTTTCCTTCCCGCTTTGTTTCTTCTTTTCCTCTTCGTCCTCCCCTCCTCCCATCACTCCCCCTCTTACTCTTTACTTCCACTCTCCATTTTATTTTCTTGCTCCCTCCTTTTGGTTGGTGATTTCTTCCAGACCTTCCAAAAAATCAAGACTACTATCTTCCAATTCCCTTTCTCCTCCCTCTCTCTCTATCTCCCTCTACATACATTGTCCTCTAGGTATACCTCCCATCCATTTCGGGGTTTACTTCCCACTGCCCCCAAACCATTGCTCTGCAGCTACTTACATGTCTATCTAGTATAATTATACCTCTCCTCTTTCACCTATACAATCATCATGTCCGCCAAGTCGATCCTCGAAGCTGATGGCAAGGCCATCCTCAACTACCACCTCACTCGTGCTCCCGTCATCAAGCCTACTCCTCTCCCTCCGTCCTCCACGCACAACCCTCCTCCTAAGCTCGCCTCCCTTTACTTCCCCGAAGATATTGCCGTCAAGGATGTCCTCGACCAGGCTGAGGTCCGCTACCCCTGGCTGTTGACTCCCGGCTCCAAGTTTGTGGCCAAGCCCGACCAATTGATCAAGAGACGTGGAAAGAGTGGCCTTCTGGCCCTGAACAAGACCTGGGCCGAGGCCAGGGAATGGATTGAGGCCCGTGCTGCCAAGGACGTCCAGGTTGAGACGGTCACCGGCGTTCTCCGTCAGTTCCTCGTTGAGCCTTTCGTTCCTCACCCCCAGGAGACTGAGTACTACATCAACATCCACTCCGTGCGTGAGGTAAGTTTGCTTTTTTTTTTCTCCGCCGCTTGATCGGCGCCCTCCGTCGCTGCGGGGTAGCAATGCTAATGCACCATGTTAGGGTGACTGGATCCTTTTCACCCACGAGGGTGGTGTCGACGTTGGTGATGTCGACGCCAAGGCTGAGAAGCTTCTCATCCCCGTCAACCTGGAGAAGTACCCCTCCAACGAGGAGATCGCTGCTGCTCTCCTGAGCAAGGTGCCCAAGGGTGTCCACAACGTCCTCGTTGACTTCATCTCCCGCCTCTACGCCGTCTACGTTGACTGCCAGTTCACCTACCTCGAGATCAACCCTCTGGTTGTCATCCCCAACGCTGATGCCACCTCGGCTGATGTTCACTTCCTCGATCTGGCTGCCAAGCTCGACCAGACTGCTGAGTTCGAGTGCGGTACCAAGTGGGCCATTGCTCGTAGCCCCGCCAACCTGGGTCTGCCCACCCTTCCCTCCAGCGACAAGGTCAACATTGACGCTGGCCCCCCGATGGAGTTCCCCGCTCCTTTCGGTCGTGAGCTGAGCAAGGAGGAGAAGTTCATCTCCGAGATGGATGCTAAGACCGGTGCTTCCCTCAAGCTCACCGTCCTCAACGCCAACGGCCGTGTCTGGACCCTGGTTGCTGGTGGTGGTGCCTCCGTCGTGTACGCTGATGCCATTGCCTCTGCTGGCTTCGTCAGCGAGCTCGCCAACTACGGTGAGTACTCCGGTGCTCCCACCGAGACCCAGACCTTCAACTACGCCCGTACCATCCTCGACCTGATGCTGCGCTCTCCCATCCACCCCGAGGGCAAGGTCCTCTTCATCGGTGGTGGTATTGCCAACTTCACCAACGTTGCCTCCACCTTCAAGGGTGTCATCCGCGCTCTGCGTGAGGTTGCCCCCGTCCTGAACGAGCACAAGGTCCAGATCTGGGTTCGTCGTGCTGGTCCCAACTACCAGGAGGGTCTTAAGAACATCAAGGCTGTTGGTGAGGAGCTTGGCCTCAACATGCACGTCTACGGCCCTGAGATGCACGTCAGTGGTATTGTGCCTCTTGCCCTCCTCGGCAAGAAGACCGACATCAAGGAGTTCGGTTCCGCGTAAAAAAAGAAAATACAGGGCACGTTTCACTGAATTCTAATTAATTTAATTTCCTATGAGAACCTTCTTCATTTCTTCTCAATGCATGGCATGATATGGTTGTTTACGCTATCTTGTTAACTTGTTTCTTTTTTTTTTTATTGACGGTACAAACGGTTTGCCCAGCTTTACACTGCAGGGCAAGTGGAAGAGGGGATACTCGTTCTGGAGTTGATGCTGTTTAGACTTAAGATAGTCGTTAATAGAACGATATGATCTATGACTGTCACTGGAGCCATGTATTCCACCATTTACATACCATTGTATGCATGTAATAAGGCATCGATACGCTCGTAATTATCATGCGTCCGTATTCTTCAACCCCAGAACGCACAACCCTCCCTCAATTATCCACAGTATAGGCACATAGTATATGGGAATTAAATTACCCTACCACCCTCCCCACCTACCTCACACGTGGACTGCATATATACAATATGACACATCACAACCGCACGACAACACCAATAACAAAGCTACCCTAAAACCAACCAGCACAGCAAATAAGGCACACACGCATACACGGACAGACAGACAGATAGCACCACGTCCACCTCATGCACACGCAGGTCCCAACCAAGGAACCAAGTCCACAACTAGTACATATGTATGTAAGTAGGTATGTATGTAAGTAAGTATATTAAATACACAATACATACATACATACATACAAGTAAGTAAGACGCCGTAACAAAAGGAAGTTCAAATAAACTACAAAACCGGTGCCACACCTAATCTCTCTCAACGGAAAGCCTAAAAACCCCAGATCCACAGGGCTGCAAGGGTAAGAAAAGGAAAGGAATAAGATAAGATGAGCTTGATTTCTCGCGTGGCCGACACTTTAATTGGAAAAGGATTTTCCTTAGCCAGGGGGGGTAAGGGTTGGTTGTGTGGTTGTGTGTGGCTTCCGTACGTCCGAGACGGGACGCGGATGGATGGAACGCGGATGTTAGTAGTAGTACTTAGTATGATGGATGGGTAGGTGGTGGTGGTGGACGGATAAGCTTACAGCCTATGAGATGGCATCGATTAGAACGGGACGGGCCTTTGCGTGATGGAGAATTTATTTACTTACTTCCTTGAGGCTTTGGGGCTTTGGGGGCCTTGAGGGGCCGAGGATGGGTTTTAATTATTAATTTGTACGTAGTTAGCTGGGTGATTAGATTGGATCTTATCAGTTTCTTTTCTTTTGCTTTTGTGTGCTGTTTTGAGTGGGTGGTTTGGTTGGGTTGTTTACTACTACTTACTCTATGATTACCGAGGTAGTAGCTAACTGATGGCGGTATATATACTCAACCCTTGTTCGTGATATTGGATTGAGGATGTTGTTTTTGGTGTGTGCTAAGCTTTAGTATACTTATTCAACTGAGATCACCGATTTGCCAATGCAATTCATGAAAGTAGAAAGTGCTGCGCGATGCTTCGCGTCTATTATATTGTCGTGTTTGGAACGGTTGGTCTATGTGGGTATATACATCCGCGTTTTGCCCGTCAGTTAATATGTATCGGCGCATCACCTGAAGCCCGAGCATTGAACCTCACGAGGTGAAGAACACCCTTGAAACTGCACGATGAGTAGTCAATCGTTCAAGTTATAGAAGAGATATATAGAGCAACTACTACTTTAATGACCTATAAGCAGAACCTGTACGAAGTTATGCAGAATACTACACTACATCGATTTTAACAAGCTATTTATACACATCTCCGAAGGTTGACTCTTATAGCTCTTGTGCTGAGTGACATAGTACCAACTCATTTTAATCAAGACCAGGAGTGTAGTTGACCACCCGACAATGTATCAGGCTTGAGCGAGCAATTTTAGCCACTAGTCACTGTGATACCTAGTATGATTCCTACTACTCCCTCCGTAGTCAGTCAAATATTCGGCATCTTTGCTGACTGATCCCAACCACCCCCGGTTAGATCAGCGTTGAGCCTGTTTCACTACCCTATCGTTGTTTTGTTAGAACGACGCAGGGTTCTGCATCAGACATTTCTATCTGTCTAAACTGTAGTGATGTTGCTGATACAGGTGCTGATAATGGTGATAATTGCTACTAAGTCTTGTATTACTGTATCTGAATCACCCGTATGTCAGTCCCCTTGCTGACTATTGCCGTTATTATATGTTCAGATGGAGAACGATAGTATATCCTCGGAACTGCCTACGCGTGTCTTCTCATGGGGGTCTAGACGACGGGTCGAAGCAGTCTGATACGCCTATTCAGCTGGCCATGAGTTTGTTTTACCGCCTGCTTTGGGATAAAGATAGAATGAACATTTTGTTCACGAAGTAAGTAGTATATAAAGGTGGTCGAACGGCTGCCCTCTGACTTGACAATACTGGAAGGTCTCTTCTTGTCACATTATCGGTCTTGTTGGACGGAACGGTAAGGTGCAGATAATTCTACCCAGCATTCGGTCGTACTTAATATGGGAAAAAATAGCAGAGAGGAGATTATCATATCTGATTACTTGCCCTCATCGCGCCAGACAATGTAGGACAGGATGATTGCTATATTTAAAAGTACATCGTGTGGTATGTAAACAGTCATTTCACGCTTTCGATAATAAATGCCAGACAAGACGTTAGCCCAAGATGATTAGGAGGGACGACAGATCCCTCCTGATACCTCTTCGGTGGTTCTTTTTTTTAATATGAGTTTTCCCGGAGTTGGATGGTTGAAGCTCATGATTTTGCGTAGGAGGTATAGTACAAGTGATTCGGCCTTAACCCGTGAACAGAAAGATAACGGAGCTGAATATCATTTCACTCGTCCAATTTACTCTTGGATCTTGGCAAGGATCCTGGTAGCTTATGTTAGTATATGACGTTAATTCAGAGCATAGTGGCAAGGGTGTGCATACTCATGGTCGCGGAAAAGAGTGTACTCGTCCTCACCGACCTTGACGGCGCTGCCACCGAACTACATCACAAACTCGTTAGTATGCGTGTTCATCAATAGCACATCAATCTGCGCGATGGAGTAATGCTTCGCTTCTCGCATCGGATGGCCACGGATCGGGCGGTCGACATACCTGAGGGATCAGGACACGGTCACCGGGAGCAACGCTCATGGGGAGGCGCTGGCCGTTCTTGTCAAAGACACCGGGGCCAACAGCGAGGACCTTGGCCTCGTTCTGCTCCTTGACGCTGCTCTCGGGGAGGAAGATACCGGAGGCGGTCTTGGCCTCGGGCTTGACACGCTGGACCAGGACGCGGTCGAGGAGGGGAGCAAGGCTCTTGACGTTGCGGAGGAAAGACTAATCAAGCAATCAATACATTAGTAATGGTCAGAGATAGGTTGATTGGCGATTAGAGATGGCAATCCCGTCGAAAGGGGATGGACGTTGATGGGTGAAAAAGTTCATTCGGAGCTCTACAGCATCCGGTATCAATTGCAATAACATACCATTGTGATAAGAGTGTGTATAGAAGTGCCGGGCACGAGGAACAGCGTAGATTCAAGCAGGAGCGAGAGGAAATGGAAGCAAGTTGGGGACGTGGAGAGCAAAAGAAGAAGAGGAAGCGGCCGGGGAAAGAAGATCTGATCTGGACTCGCGAGAAATTTCCAGAATGCCAAGACCGACAGCTTCCATCCTCTCTGCCGAGGGTATCACCACTTCTTCGCTCTTCTTCCCTTTCATTCTGATCACAGCGTGCTCCTTTCCAATGTGCTTTACTCGCTTGACTATTACAGATAAATATGGAATCTTTTACACGATTGAGTGTACTTGGTCCTGGCGTCTGATGATGAGCAACAATGACACTGCACTCGATTAGTAGCTCCCTTTCCCCGAGCAACCCGACCCCAGATCCGCACAAGAAGCTTAGCCTTCGGGAGTAATTCATTTATGAATAGGTTTACTACTTTCTAGTACTCTGCTCGAATCGCCAATGCTGAGCTTTCGACAAGGTATTCGTTATTATAACAAGGTCGCAGCTTCAGATATACCTAGCTTTACCATCTTCTCCCGCGACCCCGACCAAAGCCGCCTCCGTATCCCATCTGAGGCTGACCACCACCTTGCCCACCAAATCCGGGTTGACCTTGTTGTCCGCCGCCTGCGCCGGGTTGCCCGCCCATCATGGCCTGCGCATGCTGCATAAATGCCATAGGATCCATGGATGAGGGGTCCAGACCTTGCGACATCATGCTCGTCAGCATGCCTTGCATCATCTCTTGTGACATATCCGGCATTCCAGGCATGCCGGGCATAGGAGGTGGTGCGCTTCCTGGAGGCCCTCCAGGTCCCGGAGGACCACCGGGCATCGGCGGGAGCCCCATGCTTAAGAAAGCCTGCATATCATCCAATTGTTTCTTCTGATCTCCAATTTCCTTGCGTAGCTCCTGTTGCTTCAACACATAGCTGGCCCATGTGAACTCGTCAAACCCGTAATTGAAATAATCTGTAATGTCGGAGCCTGGCCGCCTCCAAGGCTTGTCGTCCTCTGGAAAGTCGGTGTCCATGTCTGTTAACATGATCGGTTTACCGGTCGCCGGATGGACAGGGTTCGCGTGGACATCGATGTTCGACGCATGGACTGGAGGGTAGGCGGAACCAGGTTTCTGAGGGACCGCAGGCCTTGCAGCAGCAGGCACAGGGGTAACGGATTCAAGTTTAGGGGTAACGGTGGGCGTTATTGATTTTGATATCGTAGAAACATCTGCAGAAGAGGAAGGTCTTTGAGACTCCGCGCGAAGGCTGGCGTGACGAGGATGTGGGCTGTTCAATGGTTACCAAGGTGAAGTGCGTTGAACAGAGGTAGTGGACTTACACTTCTGGAGGGGGTGCATCTGCAGGTGCTTCGGTGATAATATTGAAGTCGTCCTACGCGAGAGTAAGAGACAGTAATAGGATAATTTAGTTGTCGCCATGCGCATACCTCATCTTCTTCTACCTCTATCTCCTCTTCTTCCGCATCATTGGAGTCCTGAGGTCCTGAATCTGTGGAGGGATGCTGAGATCCATTCTGATGCTGAGTTACAGGCACCGCATCGGCGGGATCGTAGAAATCGTCGTCTTCGTCTTCCATCATCATGTTTGGAATCTGCGACCGAGTAAATGTAGAGAGGTAGGAGATGTGACGGGATGCGTTTCTGTCGGCGGCGATCCTGCGGAGATTCGCAGGTCGTCGGCTTTGATTTGTTTGTTCTTGTGCTGCTGGTTGGCTGGGATACTGCAGTCGCGAATTTGAAAATGATCGGCTTCTTAGCTCGCAGAGTCTCTTCTGCTATAAGAAGTAGAGCAAGAATGTAGCACAAAAAAAAAACAATTGACGACAGTACTTTCTCAAGGCGCAGGCAAGTTGTGGTTGTTCCCGATCCGGCAATCTTGGACATCACGTGCCAGTACGTCAGTCGCATTCATGTGAGATTTATCGCCCATCTCGACGTCTATTCCTCGATACTCTCACCACATATACGTTATTAAAATGTCACAATCCGAACAGCCGAGCCATAGCTCGACTCCACGCTCGTTTACCAGCCAGACTGCGTCAGCAGAAGATCTGCTCAAATCGCAGACAGTTGGTCTCGTCCATCTTTCCGACTTTCGCAAACGTCGCGCCGAGGTCTTAGAGCAAAAAGAGCGCGAAGCTCATGACAAGTCCCTAGGGAGATTCACCTCCAGAAGTGCAACTCCATCTACCGGTGAAGTGACTGACGGGTGAGTCAAAGCGCATCTTCAGAAACCCCGACTTGTTACTGATCGCAAAGCGTATAGCAACTCGACGCCACGAAGCGAGGGCCCGCCAAAGAAGAAGAAAAAGAAGCCTATCGCCAAGAGTAAACTTTCATTCGGCGATGACGATGAGGAGGAAGAGAACGATAGCACCGCCGATGCAGTCGCAACGCCACGGGACTCGAGTGTTCCCCGTTCTGCTTCCAGAACTCCTGTTGACGATAGCTCGGCGCCGTCATCACGCCGCATAACACCAAACCCAAATGCCCCTCCTCCTCCAAAAGCGATGACAAAAGCCGCCTTGAAGGCAGAGGCAGAGGCACGGGATGCGCTCCGCAAGGAGTTCCTCGCCATGCAGGAAGCTGTGAAGAATACCGAGATATTGATTCCCTTTATATTCTTCGATGGGACCAACATCCCAGCGGGGACTGTCAGGGTTAAGAAAGGCGACCCTGTTTGGTTGTTCTTGGACCGATGCCGAAAGGTTGGAGCAGAATTGGGTGTTGGTGGTAACAGCGGAGCATCCAAGGCTCGCAAAGACAATCGTCGCGAATGGGCTCGAGTTAGTGTCGATGACCTAATGTTGGTCAAGGGAGAAATCATCGTTCCACATGTATGTATCCCAAGTATCTCGTTTGGTTGCATACGCTGACTGGCACAGCATTACGAACTCTATTATTTCATCGCCAACAGTGTACCCGACTTCACCAAAGCGGGTGGTCTGTTGTTCGATTATTCCAACAAACCACCCCCGGCGCCCTCGACGGACGATCCTTTATCGCGTCCGGAAAGTAGCCAACTTGAGGGCGCTGATAAAGATCCCTCTTTGACTAAAGTGGTTGATAGACGATGGTATGAGCGGAACAAACACATCTTTCCGGCCAGTCTTTGGCGAGAATATGAACCAGGGCCTGAGTTTGAGGAGAAGATGCGGACGACAAGACGTGATGCTTCTGGAAATACGTTCTTTTTCTGATACACTTTCGGCTTGAAGGTCATGGCGTGGCTGATATAAATAAGAGCGTTGAGACCATAGATTTTGTATATTCTGAGATACCCAATAAAACCATAGCTTGCTCGTATATCATACTAGTAGCCTAGTTGTACTGTCTGTGCCTGATCCAATCTGTACCGAAGTGACTTGGTTGCTCCCGCGGCAATTTCCATATTGAGCATTCATTCTATGCCAATCTCCATGCACGCTTGAACATCTATCTAACCAACTCTTCTTACTTCCTTCACCAGAGATAGTCGATATATATTCGTCATGGATTTCTACCTCCGTTGCAACTCTCTGAAGTGTCGAGAACAACTGAAGGAGAGGGCAGTTGTCACCACCTGTTCGTAAGTACCTTCATCTGCTGCATCTCGAAATTTCCTTCTACGACTGTCAAACTCAAGAACAACACGCTGAGCAACCGAGACACATATTCTGTCTCCACTGTGCAGGAAGCCTTGGTCTATCGCACCCCACAGCCAATGAGCGAATCTGTCCAGCCTGTCAGACTGTCCTCGTGAACCCCGACGACGCGGTAGCAACGGCCCTCAACCCAACGGAAGACTACAAGACCAGTGTTCTAAGCGGACTTGATCCGAATACCATTATGGAGTGCGCGGGACGGGCGTTGCTCTTTTGGACATACCAGACTACACAGGAGATGTGCGTCAATTGAAAATCGTGACTGACCTGGATGCCCACTAACAAGCCAAAGCTTCTACCAGGAGTACCTTGCAAAGACACTGACCGAAAAGTACACCAATCTGAATACGCAAATGGACAAGGTCATACACAACGCGAACTCGGAAATTTCGGCCCTACAAGCGAGAATATCAGGTCAGCCTGTCTCCAACACGGGAGTGCTCAATGAAACCATCTGACAACTAAGCAGATATGCAGACAGCACAGGACCAACTTCGCAAGAAGAACCAGGAATTAGTCGACATGTATCGAGAGAAGTGCAAGAAATTCACACAAATGACTAACTTATACAACATACTCAAATCCCGAGCGATGCGATCCCAAATGCAGACCGCTGCAACGGATACTGTGTCCCAAGCGCTAGATTCGCTAAAAGCCTCTCGAAACAATCTATCTGAGCTTGTACCCAGACACGCAGAGACATCGAGACCCCCACAAACCCCATTGTCTAGGCAATCCAACGTATATCCCGTCAACCAGGAAGGCGTGGAACAACTGCATCGTCATCAACGGAGCGGGACTGGAAGTTCAAAAGGTCGCAAAGAGCGGACTGATGTCGCTGCAATGCCACCGCCTAGCCGTCCGACAGACATTCGGAGCAAACGTATGCATCTGGACTATAAGCTTACGTTGCACGTACTGACACTGTATAGACAATCAGCCTGCCGCAACACCACAACATCGAACCCGTCTCGTGGGTCCTTCACGTCCTTCAACGGGGAGAACACAGCTTCCTCACGACAGTATAATGCTGGAGCGTTTCCAAGCTGAGGCTGGCCCAGCTGATGCTCTCCTAGACACACGAGGTTCATTGAGAAGAACGGACGTCGGCATGCAGATTCCTCCCCAGAGACACAGTCCCACAGAACGTCCTAGACTGGGCTCTTTCTTTGACAGTACGATCATATAGCCATACTAGACAGTCTTACACATCACGAGAAGAAGGACAATGTGGGATTATTGCGATACTCAAGAAGATGTCAAACCGGCCCATTGTGACCACTAATATACTGATAATACCTTCATCGTGGCAAATAGAATATATCATAGTATTGAGCTGGAACAGTCATTGACAACCCCATCATGATCATAATAGCATTCTGTCAATATAATAATTCTCCTACGAGCACAAAGCCCTATGTCAGAGGACTACTGAGCTTGACATCTGTCATCAGTAGCATTCGAGACACAATCATTTTCATCTAGTCAGAACAAGTGCAGTACCACATACAGCGCCATTCATTACATAGTATCCCCACAAACAGCTACCAACATACTACTTGCCAGCTACTACCCTTACTAGAATGCTTTTGCTCTATGCAGCATTATGACTACTCCTATCTAATCGAAATTGAATGCTTGACAGCCATATAAGAGACATGACGAAATGTGTAATGTAAATGGTTTACAGTAGTTGACTAGACGAAACAGGTTTAAGTGGATACTTAGTAACTACATAACACTAAATATCTATATTTAGATGTTGACATTATTATTTCTTCCTTTCCTCCTCCGTTTCTTTGTTTTGTTCTGGTGGAAAGAATATCGGTAATATATATTCAGCTATAGTTAATGTTGATCTGGTGTTTAAAAAAACGGAAACTCTTGGCTACCGCTCAGAGTGAATTGTTTACAAGCTACTATTCTAAGAAGGGAAGAGAAAAAGGGGAAAGATTAAGCGAGGGTAAAAATAATAACAATTAAAATAGATAGAAAAACAGAGTACGCCTCAAAAGGAATCAGTCCTGTGAATTCACAGATTTACCGGCAAGCGCAAGGATCCAGCCTGCAATAGTATCAGGGGAAGAGGGTAGCACAACAGGGTAGACATTCAGGTTAGACATGGAGCTACAAAAAGCAGTAAAGGCAATCAGAGATGAAAGCATGATTTTATCGATGGTGAACCCATTATTTGGAAAGTTGGATGTTGTGTCACTGCAATGAGAAATAAGAACATAGATATTTTCGTACTTTCTCGCAAGACGGAATACGCGTTCTCGTAGGGGGGAGTTGACGCTGGGAATGTCTCTAACCATTGTTGATTTATGACCTGGGAGGAATAGCTGTGTTGTTGCTTGCGAAGTTGTCAAGGTTATACCGGTGTTGGGAGGAATTAGTATATCAGCTTCGTCCTCGTAGTTTGATAAAATGGTGTTTCTGGATTGGATATGACTTCCAGATGCCGACTTCCAGCTTTCTGCACCAGACTCCCTGTAGACGATAGATGTGGCAGGACTCATACTTTCAATGCACTGGACTATGCGTAAGTGGCTTTTGAGAAGCAATGTTGACAGAGAGAGAATTATGGGTCCGTTTTTCTGAGGCAAACAACATGGAATGGCCGATTGATTGAAGGAGATGATTTCAGGATGTCTGCGAGCTGGGGTGTCAGTTGGGCGGTTATCAGATGTTTTCGCACGCAACGATACATCGTGCGCCTTTCCAGGCGTTTCTGTGGGCATATTGTTAATGAAATAATGGCTCTGGGTGGCTATTTCTTGTATGGAAGCCTGCCCTCTGGTTTCCATGAACCGCGATAAGGAGCCAAGGCTCGTGGTCAGGTGTTGTCTTGAAGGTGCTTTTCCCTTCACAATAGGCGGCATGACTTTGTGATTTGCACTGTCGGTCTTGTTATCATCCTCCTCAATGTTATCCAACTTTCGTTTCCGCACTAGTGATGGATTGCCTGGGCTAATATTGTCATAAAGCTGGGGTAGAGCTTCAGGAAGAAAGGAGGCCACTGAGGGATCATCTTCTATTGTTGGGGTGATTAGGTATAGTTCTGGTACTGGAGTCTCAGATATCAACTCTGCTGAACAGTCTGGAAACTCCTGTACGTATGCTTCCTGATGAGACGAGCTACATGCGGATGGAATTGGAGAGTAACTTGTTCGAGAGGGAAGATCCTCGACGATACAGTTGTTATAAGGAAAACAATCAGATGTTGCAATGTTATCCGTAATCTCGGTGTAGGTCACTCGCGAAGTAATGCTGCTTGGGCTCCTGGGTATTGTCACAGCCATGATGATTTGCTCAAAATCGGATGTGAACTCCTTTTCATTGACTATGTCCATATCCGCAGAGGACATTCCATCAGGTGGACCTCGCTCGTTGGGTGATGACCGACTTAGAGATGGATCATGCGACAGTTGCCTGTCTGTTCCTCCGAAGACTTGGTCCACAAAATCACTCTCTAGTATTGAAAGGGTACCCCCTGGGACAGTCTCGATTCTAGAGCAGCCTTCATAGTGCACGATATCGATGTCTGTTGGTACTCCAGGTGAAACATGGCGAACGGGACTCAGTAGGACGTGGTCACTTGAGCTCAGTGGCGGGCTATCGCAAGAAAAGCAGTCCTCATCTAGGGGCAAAAGGGGTGGGGACTGAAGATGGAACCGATCTTCCTGTCTTCAACTTCAGCGAGAAGAATGAGAGAAGCGCGAGATGACCCCACAGACTTACCTCAGCCACGTCTTCAAGAGGAGGCAGCAAGTCATCCAAGTCCAGAGGACGATTCCCAGCCTGCCGCGCATCTTGAACAAGAAGCAATGCGTCCTTAGAACAATCCAGCTTCTCATTGCCAACTCTTTTCTCAATTATAGCTGCCTCATGTGTCAAAGGGCTCAAGAGATTGTTATCGTAGTCGCTAGCAAGTCCCTCAAGTGAACAGAGGAAACTTTCTTCTCGAGAGTATCGAAGCGGCTCAGCTGGAAGTACCAAATTTGTATCATTGTCAGAGCTGAAGAGAGGAGGTTCTAGCTTCAGATCATCATATCGATCCCACAACGGAAGGACTTCATCCCAGCAGTCATCGATATTGTCTCGCTTAATGTCGCGAAGCACTGACGACAGGAACCGAACGCTTTCTTTTCTAATATCGAGCATTTCAGGATGTAGGTTCTGCTCGATAACTTGCTGGCTGGATGCGATAGTCTGCTCAATAACCGACAAAGTGTCGTCAGGTGGGTGAAGATAATCGGGAGGGATATCGCAAATATCGTCGACATGCTGAAGAGGGTCAAGATCTGTGTAGTCAGTAGCTATGCCATGGAAGCGGGCATATTGGAGTAAAGACACATCGTTTGTGTTTGCCATTGATATGTATATACTGGTCGTATTGTTCGCGAAAAACTTGTGAAGGACTTGCTAGAAGTAAACTGGTTGATGATGTGACAAAGAGAGGCACGTGGCTTATGTAGACGCTTCTAGATTAAACCGAGGTGGGAAGACTTGACTAGTATTAGCTCGAAATTATGTACGCCTAATTTCTAAAACTCCGTAATGTATCGCTAGTTATTTAATTATCAGCCCGAAGTACTGAGAGCCAGCTCTCATATTCCCGCAAAACCTATGAATCACGCTAAGCACCCAGAACATTCAAATAATTTGCCAAGGTCTTGGTAGATCAGTCATTGTAATTAGACTGGCGGGAACCATCCTTGTTAACAGGCGGCAGGTTGTAAAGAGCGATGAATTCCTCTTCTTGCGATTTTCCTGCCGGATCCAAGACGGGGCGCTCTGCGTGGCAGCAGACGCGGACAGCATGGCGACGGTGAGGAGCGAATCCATAAGAAGCAGAGTGATTCTATCAACAATTAGCTTATAGCTTAAGTGTACTGCGAAGGACATGATACTCACAGTGGTTCTATTGTCCCAAATCGCGACATCATTTTTGTTCCACTGGAACCGCGCGTGCATCTCTTGAGTTGTCGCAATAACTTCCGTAAGGTATCTGATGATAGCGTCGCTTTCGGTCTTGGGAATTCCCACGATCTTTGTGACGAAGCCAGGGTTGAAAAACAGACTGTTCCAGCCAGTGACAGGGTTTGTCCGGATAAGAGGATGTTCTGTGGTAACCGGATCTCTACGGACAGGTCGACCAAGAGCATGCGAGTCCGAGGCCTGCATATCCGCCGAGTGTAGGGCAGTCAGACCCTTGAGGTATGTTTGCATATGAGGCGACAGTGCATCATATGCAGCGTATTGAGACGTCCAGAGCGTATCACCACCACCTCCCCGTGGCGGGCCAGTCAAGACCTTGAGCGATGTGTATGAGGGGGGCTGGACTTCATATGTAACCTAATATATCTCATCAGCCACATATTTGGTATCACAAGCAAGAGTAGCCCATACATCTGAGTGCCAAAGGAAGCTGGGTGTGAACATTGCTCGCTGGTCAGTGGAGTTGTCTCCAGTGTAGACGACGTGAACGTCCTCCAACCCCTCTCTTCTCGGGACAGACGTGGTCGCGTGCTGAAAGGAAATGACATTAGTAAGAATGCACATTGTATATATAGACCATTCATACCTTGTGCAGCTTCCCGAAATGTCTACCCAGGTCACGCTGGGCATCGATATCCAAGTCATCCTGTCCTCGGAAGAAAACCACACCACGAACAGCTACCAACCGAGCCAAGTCATCCTTCTGTGCGTCATTCAGCTTCGCCAGATTCACTCCATGAACCTCAGTTCCGATCTTGGGGGTGTAGTCGAAGACGTCTGTTGCGTCTTGGAGTAGATTCCGGAACTTGGCATCTCCGTAGATACCCCTATCCTCATAAGGCGTTTCCTCTAACGGAGGCCAATGAAGATCAGGAAAAGTAGGGAGAAGGTCCTGGTACTGGTAGTTGTCATGCTTTTCCACGACAGTTCGGCCTGGCTGGTAACCAAACTTGTTGTCATCTGTGACTTCCTTCTTAATTACGGGAAGGCGGCCGACTGGGTGGGTTACCACGGGGTCCACGAGTGATGGCGCCATGGTATAGGCGGCAGAGATGACCGTGATGTACAAATGTGCTGGTGGAAACGATACTAACAAGAAGTGTTGGTATGAGGATTTGTTTGACACAGAGACTGGTATTCCATGCAAGATGAGATTTTGGGTTTATATAGAGATAGATGCACACATAGAGGACGAAGAGGCCACATCCTCCACTCCATTATCAAGGGGAGAGATAACCGGACACAATCAGGCATTGCCCCAAATTCGGGACAGGCGGGAATTGCACCATCGCTGGAGAATATCACCCAAGCGGCTGATCAAGCAACTATGTATCCATGGGACACAGAACGGCGTTTCGGAGGAACCTCCCCCCAAACAATAGCGGGTCCGAGGATGGTGTCAGCGAAGATCGCGTCATTCGAAGGCAACAGTTGTGGAGACATTCTGTGACGCTTCGCGTCGGGTCAGATCTCCCGCTTATCTGGGAAGACCCGGAGGCGTCACACCGCTTCCTTGAGCTAAGTTGATCTGTCGCGAATCACATACGTATGTCGGGTTCTAGAATGCCACTAGATGGAACCGGATCAATATACCGTATTGGGGGGTGCGAGAGTGAGTATGGGGAAACACCCCACAGGAACATCATGTTGAGATAGTAGGTTGGAGTATGCCAGGCTGTCTTATGAACCACATTCTAAGGGTGGCCATAACGAATACTTTACCATAAGCTTAAAAGATCTCAGCAGAAGAAGAAGACCTTCTCAGCGGGAATAAACGGACTCCCCTGTCTCAAGGGTCACCTCCTTGGGGGGAAGGTCAAGCTGGAATCGGGGGAGCATGGGGTGACGTTAGCCGAAGGATTAGGTGCGATCACGCCAGACTGCCGTCCTCTTGCGTCTTGCGCCGAACAGGCAGCTTGGCATTCTTCACCCTCACCGCCTTCTCCAATACTACCCCTGGCGAGCCGCATCAATAATCTGTCATGGTAACTACCAAGTACGAAGTGTTGAGACATGAGTCACTGTGATGCTTATTGACGCACTCCGTACAAATAACTCAATTTTTCGGATCTTACATCAAGCGTGCTATGCTTCAGTAATACTATAAAACATGACTCATTAGAGCCTTAAGTATGCGATTTGAACTAGCTCTCTCTGGAGCGTATGATAGTATACTCAGTGGTCATGATCAGGTGCCTTATATCCGGTTTAGCGATGCCTTTCTGCGCGGTCATAGGCAGGGTAGTCGAGGGGTCATTGTCACTAGCGGATAGCCGGATCAGATAACCTGGCAAGGAGCCGAAGTTGTAAAGTTTCGCATCATGTAGCGAGATTAGGTATGCTTCATCAAATCTAAATCCATCCGTAATCTACATGAAGACTATGTGATATCAATGCACAGACTTCCAGACATTCATGAAACAGAGGGCGGGCCCAGAACCACCTCTTGCACTTGCTCGGTAACTCCACCGAGACGGCTGGCCACGCCTAATATGCCAGCCTCAACATCGCCTAGAACGGTGGCAAGCTCGCTGACGATGGACTTCGGGGCTCCAGCGGCTGCTCCGTCTCGACTACGAGATGTCACAAAGTCGTGGATCTGTCGTTCCAAAGTCGCCTCAACTCCGTGAAGGTGGTCTTCAATCTCTTTCAAGTTTCGTGTGTAGCGTTCCAAGACCTCTCCCATCTCGTCAGAGCGCTGAGAGAAGTAGTCAACCAAGTTGACGGGTACTCCGTTCACGGATGTGGCAGTGGACGGGTCGCTTTCAACATCGTCCGGGAGAGCTAGAGTGTTCTTGCGCGTAGATCGCAAGGCTTGTCCATCTGACATCTTCTGATCCTGAGACCACCATCCAGCCCCACCGGTAGATTGATACTGCAGTGGCAACTTCAAGGTATCAATCGCTCGGAATGCAACTTGAGCCTCAGCTGCGTCGCGAGACACAAGATTACGAAGCTGATCAATGTCACCTGCGTCATTCTCAAGTGCGTGCTGCATTGTCTCTAGTTTTCCTTGGACAAATTCAACATCATGTGGGATCGTCTCTCCCTGGCCGGCGATAGTGGGTATCATGTTCGCGACCTCGTTGCATATCCTGATCTGGTTGAGGACGAAGTTATCAAACTTTTCCAACTCCGATTTGATCTCATCTGCGCAGCTCTCGTATTTCGTTGTAGGAAGGATGTTGCTGATATCGACCTTGACCCCAGGGATGACCGTTGTCCCGGCCGCGGCCGTCGGTTGCGTGGTTGGTTGTGTTGTGGTATTCTGATTTCCGAACAAAGACAGAGTAGGCTTCTGTGGTTGCTGCTGCTGCTGCTGCGCGCTGGTTTGGTTGGCGCCGCCACTGTGATAGTTGGCATGAGCCACGATTAATGTTGTGGGCAGAAAATTCACTTACAATAGGCCCCCTCCGGTAGTCGTAGAGCCTCCAAGTCCACCAAAAAGTGGCTTTGATTGCGTCTGGTTTGCGGTGTTACCGCCCAGATTGCCGAATAGGCCCCCACCAGTGTTCCCGCTCTGTGTGTTGTTGGTCGTGGTGGTGGCTCCTGAGAAAAGACCACCTGTCTGTGGTTGGGAAGTTGCGGCAGTAGAGTTTCCAAACAGACCCCCGCCAGTTGAAGTAGTATTCGTCTGCTGGCCGCCTAACCCCGGAAACAGACTCGAACCGGCAGGCTGAGATTGCTGTGTAGCGCCTCCTGCGTTTCCAAATAGGCCACCGGCTGGCTTTGACTGTGTGGCAGTATTCCCAAGATTACCGAATAACCCACCGGAGGTAGTAGTAGTCGCCGGTGTTGTTGTAGTGCTAGTCTGCGTATTGGTTCCAGAGCCACTGATAAGGTAATATTGTTAGCTTTTTTAGGCTTCAATGAAGGCCACAAATTCAAAGGGATGCGACGAAGCAATTGCGGTTTGAGCCCCTCATACAGGCGTGGACCAAGGTGACACCATGAGGCCACTAACAGATGCAACAGGAAAAGCCTTACAATAGAGAACTGGCAGAACCGGTGTTGATGGACAGGCCGGTTGATGTGCCGGCAGGCTTTGTACCGAACATGATGGACGATTTGGATGGGAGATGGAATCGAGGGCTCAGGTGTCGAGTGAGATTCGATAGTGTTAACGCGACAAGAACCTTTGTTGCGCCCGTCAAGAGGGTCTTGTGCCAGCACAATGTCCACAGGAGCTGGATCGAGTTGCGACGTCGGAAAACAACAATCAAGACGATCCTCCCCGGCTAGTGTTGGATGGGGAAAGATTTGCCGGTCCGAGATTATTCAGCGTTATCGATAAGGACCAACTAACTAGTACTAACTAAACGCAGTATAACCACCACCAATCATTTGAAGAAAGCACTTCAGATCGGTTATCAATTACGGCTTTTCAGATTCAGCTCATTGGTGAAGAAGCTAAGAGAATATTTATCAGCGCCAAAGTCACATCATTTTACACTTCATTGCAGGGTGCTATTTCTCTTGATCCCCATTTGCAGGCACTGTAGAAGCTAATTCACATATGTAGACGTGATAACCTCGTCACTTGGTTTTCTTCAATTGTCGCCCCATTGGCTCTATTCCATATATCAAATTGACTGTGCCTCATGCTACAATATACTTGAATCCAAGGCATTTGGCATTGAGAACAAACGGCAGCGAATGTCAATCCTTTGCTCCACCCACTGCTTCACAGCGCCTCCAGCCATTCCAGTTTTTATTTTTGTTGCAACTTGCTACTATATAAGAAGCCTTAGCCCCCAGAATGGTCGAAGAACAAGAGCCCATATGTGTCGCTTCTACCCTTTCTAGTGGAGGTGAGCATAGTTCAGGGTTTGGCAGCCGTTCTCTGGAATCTCAAGGCTCCACCTCCTTACAGCCAAAGGAGGACCGCAGTCTCAGCCAAAACCCTAATACACAATATTTCAAGGGTGCAGAATGGTAAGTCTCTAAGTATCACTATCAGGGCTTGGCTGATCTTGGTATTCAGGTCGGCGGATGGAACCACTTTATTGACGGATTCCTCCGATCATCATATCAGAACTTGGATCTTGTCAGTAAATCCCACTCAGCTATTGTTAACATAGCCTGACAACATTCTACAGACCACCCGATATGCTAGAAGAAACGACCTACCCCAGCGGCATATCGCCATACTCAGTCTTGCCGTCAGCAGAACCGACCTATGCGACTGCCATGTACCCTTTCTTCTCTCTTCAAGACCCGTCGACTACATTATTTCTCTCATCTGTTCGAGACCATCCAATCAGGTTGACATCTGCTCTTGCTCCAACCTCAGTGGCGACCTATTCTCTGGTAAACCCAATGACAGAAGCCTTCATAACTCCCCATTCTATCATTTATCCATCTGCGTTGGGAGGGAGCCAATTTCTCACTGGCTCTGACAGCCTGATTTGCCTCTTCGATGTCTCTCGACCCGGCAACGATGGCCCTGTTACTTCCATGCCCACAATACCAAGCAAACGAAAGCAACTGGTGGGTGGGGGCGTGGGAATGAAAGGAATCATCTCTGCCATGGCCTTGGATCCCACCGGGGCTGGTATTTTAGCGGCTGGAACATTCACCAGACATATTGGGCTTTATGGTGCACATGGAACAGGGGAGTCCTTAGGGACATTCAGCATATCGAAAACAGAAGCGCACCGTCATATTGGCGGTCGTGGAATCACTCAACTGCTGTGGAGCCCCTGCGGAAGGTACCTCTACGTTGCTGAACGGAAAAGTGATGGTGTCTTGGTGTATGATATCCGAGTCACAGGACAATTGCTTGGATGGCTGCAAGGTCGCAAGGCTTTTACAAATCAACGACTGAAAATCGATATAGTTCCCAGTGGAGAAAACGGCTCCCATGAGATCTGGGCTGGCGGAACTGATGGATGCATGAGGGTGTGGCAGAACCCTACACATGTTAGTGGTGCTCAGGATCCAAAGTGGGAATGGAAGGTTCATAACGGTAAGTATGCTTCCCGATGAAAGACAAGGACACCCAAGCTAACATAGAATTATAGATACTGTGAGTAGTACTGTACTGCATCCAATGGGGAATATAGTAGCTACAACCTCAGGTCAACGGCACTTCGAGAAAGACATCGACAATACCAGCCCACCACCTGTACCTAATATTGACAACAGCTTGAAGGTGTGGTATATGCCATTTCTAAACGCGAACAGCAATGACGACTGAAAAGGGCTTGTCGGAGGTCATGCAGTGGTTCATGTTGTCTCTGCACACACCGAAGGTTCGAGTTTTTCAAGATGACTGACGCATCCCTTATCCGTCAACGCTGCAAAGCCCTGTGCTGAGGATCTCAAAGATTAAGGATCCACTATATGGGTGCATGAAGCGATCGGGGGCTAGTACCTCTAGGCCGGGTTCCTGCAGCAGCAGCAGCGAATAATAGGCCATGCCGCTATAAAGTGCTTGCATCTCTGCCGGCCGAGGACATACTTGAAAGATCACTCTGGAGAAGAATATGTGACCAAGAGACTTTGGGATACTGGTGCCAGAGACTAAGACAACCCAGAGATCTTTTTTGAAAATTGGATTTTCCCACAGATTGTCAGAAATTCACAGATTCACGCTCCTTCATCCCCACTTTGTGAATGCGTGAATCCAGGCAACCCCTCCTCCAACGTGAACGTGAATCTGTGAACCAGGATCTGTGAACGTGAATCCTGTGAATCCAGCCACGCCTACCAATATGTCTACCAAACACAGATAGAATCAATTTGAGCCTTCAACCATATTATTTTTCAAATTCAGTGTTCTTGTTGCCTGGAGATGGGGTGGCTTGGCCTGGATCCCACTTTTCGGCCTTTACTATGGATTTTTCTACAGCCCAGTGGATCCTGATTCCCTACTCAAAGCATTCCCTACTCAAAGGCAAGTGTGTTAATGTGTTTGTGATTCCATTCACAGATAGTGAATAGCATGCAAAATTCACAAAATGCCTGAGTTTTCACACAGTACTTAACTTCTCTCCCCTTCCCTCCTCTCTTCTTTCCATATTCCTCGTGTCTACAAATCCTCATTCCTCAGAGTACAGAGCTTCTTGTGATCAATCAAACATCTTGCTTCACAGGCATATTGTAGCCCTAAGGACGTTGGATTTGCTTATTTCATCTACATCAACACTTTGGTCAAGTTGTCCTTGTTTATTCCTGCTTCTGGAACTTTCAGAAACGCGTTCAGGAACGAGTCTTGGGATATCTCATCCAGTAGAGGACCAGTGTTGGTCATTTTCCGAAATGGCTACCTTATCTCCTACAGGAGCACTGGTGAACGATGTGTCCTTCACCGAAACCGGAGAATTTGAGGAACTCTTTCAAGATTGGATGGGGGCAAACAACGGGTAAGTATCCATTCGCTTGTTTCTGTACTTTAGTGTCAACCGCACCTAACTTTATATACTAGTTATAACTACGTTACAGCACCAGAAGGGCATACTAACAATGCTCAAAACTTTTCAGTTCAAGACCTCCCAAGCACCGCCATGGCGCAGGACGCTGGTGTTTCGGGGGATCTTTCTGATCCTTTCACTACGGGAGAGGATATAGACCTGTCGGCATTGCCTCCATGGGATTCAGAGCACAGTCATTCTGCAATCCACGACAACGCAGTATCGCCTGAAATTGGGGATAACCAAACCAACCCTAATGAGGATATTGGGAATTTTGATCAGACTGCGGCTGTCCAGAACATGAATCCCAGTACTACTGGACAGTCCACTGCTACGGCTATACCTCAGCCCGGAACCATGTCCGGAGAACTAAACCCTAGCACTACTGGGCAATCTGCCGCTACGGCTTTGATGCAATCTGGGTCTGTGCCTATAAACCAACATATGGGAGATATGGCACCTCCAGATGCCCGTGTAATTGCTTCTACTTACTTCACTGGTATGATTGGCCCTATCATGGGTCCTATAAACGGTGTTCAGCAAACCACCTTGAAGCAAACGCGCGAATCACTACCGAGCGGTTACTCTACCCTCCCTTGTTATGCACTTGGGGCTGGTGCTGCTGTCAATAACTCGGGCGTCTCATTTACTGAGGCCGACAATGAGGACTTCTTTAATCGTGGAAACAACTACGTAAACAACGCTCCCAGCAACCTCGTGGGAAATGCCCCAGGCAACCATGTGGATAACATCTCGAGGAGCTCATACAACACCACCCCCACTGACCAGGCTGCAAGCATGCTCGGCAATGTAACCGGAGTACAGGACGTCTCTTCAAATGGTTCTCAAAAGAGTACTCCACCTTCGCAGCCAGTCTATGCTGCTGGTGGGTCCCAGGGAACTACTATGCCGGCAAGCCAAGTGGATAGAAACCGTTCTAGTTCTGGTTCTTCCGGCAATTCTGGTACGTCCGAGAAGTGCAAAGCATCTTCGCCTGCCGATCAGATTACCGGCCATCCTGGAAGCCAGTTCACTGGACATCAGAACACCGAAAGCCAGCTCATCGGACATCAGATGGTTGGAAATCAGTTCACTGGAAACCAGATGGCTGGAAATCAGTTCGCCGGAAGCCGAATGACTGAACATCTATTCACCGGGAACCAGATGACTGAACATCAGTTCGCCGGAAGCCAGATGATTGCACATCAGAGCATCGGAAATCAGATCGTTGGATTGGCACCCCAGCAAGGGACTCAAGTGTATCAGGGTATCTTCCCTTCTCAGCAGGTTGCTTGCCAGAACGGCACCATGATACAATCTTCGCCGGAAACTGGATCTGAACCAATGCACTCCAGTCCAGCCGAATACCTCCCTGGCCAACTTGGGGCAGTGGAGGAATTCAACCAAGGCATATCATCAGGAAGCAGCAGAAACTCTGTGCAGCAGAACAGCCCCTCTGATGGTCATTATGCGCCCCCGGGTCAAGGAGAAGCCACCTTCCCAATTGATGTTTCTGGCCAGCCGGTCATGACCGCCCAGGCCACTGTTCATAACCCGCAGCCAAGCCCTGTTTCACTGATGGATCAGCTGATGAACCCGGAAGCTTATAATATGGACTGCGGTACGCTGTACTCTTCAGTCGA